GAGACCTGATGCGGTTATGAGTACGAACGAGGGTGCGAATAAATCTCTAGCCAGGATTTTCAAGGGCTGTCGTGGGCGCACAGGACACTTCAAAAATTAAAGTGCTTTGCCAAGGCATCCTCCTTATCGCCGGATAATCCGTTTCCAAAAGAGATGCAGCGTGATTATAGTTACGCTCGGCGTGCGCTGAGGTTCTCCAGAAAGTCGCAAAGCGAAGACTGTCGGAAGGGCAAACCAGGAAGTGGAAGGAGTTATTGGAGCGCCTGGAAGCGTATTTCCAGGTTGGCGATGCGGTGTGGCTCTACATACCCATACATACCCAAAGTACAACCATAATTGAGCCGTAAACTGACACATCTCTGGGATGGACCCTTCCGGATCCTGGAAATGCATGACGATTTCCGTGGGAATATCAAGGTGGAGGAGAATGCTGGATGAACCCCTGGGTGCACAATGGCTTCCTCGCGAGGAAGCCATTGTGCACCAGACGACGACTTTGACGCTGCACTACTACTACCTGAAGACAGCTTTGAACCTGCCCACGAGCAAGGAGAGCATGAAGTGGAAGCAATTCTAGACATGCAGTGGAAGATGAGGAGCAAGACTTCACGTCGTACCCGAGAATACCTGGTGAAGTGGAAAGGCTACGATGAGACAGAGTGGCTGCCTGTGACCAAGCTGAGTTGTGGTGCCCTGCTCTATGAATTCAATCAAAATATACAGGCCCGCGTGCGTTTCCGATGCAAGCCGGAGAATATCGTCCTAGCGCTAGGCGCTAGGATGATTCGCATTTTAGATGATGACATCCAGGAAGGTGATATTTTATATGGACTGTGGAGATTGTGAAACTGCCGGAAAATTTTTGCTATCGTTTCGGTTGGAGAGTGAAGTTAGAACGCGCTTAGCTAGAGGAGGCTACGCCAGGTGTCTATCGGTTGTGGGAGCAGCACCAATGATGCTGATGTAGAGAATGACAGTGTGGAGTGACGACTCGGATGGCCAAGTGTGGATGAGTTGGCTAAAGTGAAAACACGCAACGATGACATGGAACGCTATGCTTCTTATCCTGGAGTGTTAATACGTGACTACGCTGGGAAAGCAACTGATGAGAGACGTCACCAAGGCGAGAAGCAGCGTCGCCCAAAGATTGAATAAGCGCAGCGCTGGGTGCAGGAGTACCTGCGCTGGCGTCGGCGGTGCGAGCTGGGGTATCCACTCACTCACTCACTCACTCACTCACTCACTCACTCACTCACTCACTCACTCAGTCAGTCAGTCAGTCAGTCAGTCAGTCAGTCACTCAGTCACTCACTAACTCACTCACCAACTAACTCACCAACTCACTCACCAACTCACTCACTCACTCACTAACTCACTCACTTAACACTTCGTGCCAATCCTAGTTGATCTTTCACCTGTTTCGCATTTACTGTGACCTTGGTTTATGATCTTAGTGTGTACACACTAGTAATACTTTATACGCTTTATTTGTATTAGTCCGATAACCTCCTTTAGTCGGTGAGCTTACACTCACTCATCTACATAAACGAGACAAAAGTTGTGTACAGCGCTGAGGATCGCACAGTCCATCTTAAGAGGCTCAGCGCTGAACACAGCTTTTGCTTCGTCTATGCATATGAACCAATTGGCGGTGACCCGGGTCACCAACTATTATGATAGCAAAATCTGAAATATCTATTTAATTCTAGCACCAGGTACTTCAGTAACAGTTCGCGTTTGGACTGCGACCCTTCCACTGTTGGCTGAAATGAGCGACCCTCCTACGATAGAACGACGAACTGGCGGTACAGGTGGCTCGAGCCAGACTGTACCACGGAAGAAACAAAAGCCTCGGAATCGACTGACAGCGTTTGAGCGTGCTTGTGCTCTACTTGGCACTGAGAAAGTTGAGCAGTTACAAGCCACGTACAAGTCACTAGAATCCAAATGGGGCGGGACCG